ACTGTGATGCTGCAGATGTCCCAAGTCAAATTCAAATGGAAATTATTGAACTTCAGGAAAATTATCATATTAAAGACAAATACAAGGAAGGAAATTTGATCAAATTTTATAAATTTTTGAACTCTGAGCAATTTCCAAATTTAAAGAAATTTGTTTGTAAATTTATCTCCATTTTTGGGACAACATATCTGTGTGAACAAACTTTTTCCCGATGAAGTACATCAAGTCGAAATACAGGGCAAATTTATCCAATGAATATTTAAAGTCGCTACTTGTGATTAGCGTTCCAAATTTGAACCTCAATTTAATCAGATTTTAAGAATGCAAAAAGAGTTCCAACATTCACATTACTTGTTTTATTATAATCTGTGATGAAAATATGAGCATTTGCTGCTACTGTCTGTTATTAATATACGATAATTTATTCTCATGTACTTTGTATTTAGTTTATGAAATTCTGTGCTTTCAATAAAACTCATATACCTACAGTTATTAATTTCTCGTTTGATCCGGACCGTTGAAAGTGCTGAATTATCTATTGTGGCCCGCGGTTCGAAAATTTTGGAGACCCCTGGTCTAGAAGTAAACACAGAGAAAACTAAGTATATGTTACTGTCTCATCACCAAAATGCAGGGCAAAATCATGACATAAAGATAGGAAACAGATGTTTTGAAAATGTGGCACAGTTCAGATATTTGGGAACAACGATAACAGATTGAAACCTGATTCAGGAGGAAATTAAGAGGAGATAGAACTCAGGTAATGCTTGCTACCATTCACTCTAGAACCTTTTGTCTTCTCGTCTGCTGTCCAGAAACATAAAAATTAGAATATACAAAATTATAGGTTTGCCTATGGTTCTATATAGGTGTGAAACTTGGTCTCTGACATTAAGGGAGGAATATAGACTGAGGGTGTTTGAGAACAAGGTGTTGAGGAGAATATTTAGACTGAAGAGAGATGAAGTGACAAGAGGTTGAAGAAAACTGCATAATGAGGAGCTTCGTAACTTGTACTCTTCTCCAAGTATAATTAGAATCATCAAGTCAAGGAGGATGGGGTGGGCAGGTCATGTAGCACGAATGGGGGAGACGGATGCGTATAGGATATTGGTGGGAAAGCCAGAAGGAAAGAGACCACAGGCAAGACCAAGGCATAGGTGGGTGGACAATATTTTAATGGATCTTAGAGAGATAGGATGGGATGGGATGGATTGGATAGATCTGGCTCAGGATAGGGACTAGTGGAGGGCTCTTGTGAACACGGTAATGAACCTTCGGGTTCCATGAAATGCTGGGAAATTCTTGAGTAGCTTCTGAATTGACAGCTCCTCAAGAAGGGCTCAGCTCCATGAGTAAGTAAGTAAGTAAGTGAAAAATCAGAGTCATGGTACATCAGCACGCAACAATCTTATTGCAGATTTGGAGTATTACTGCTACAATAACCTGCTCAGCCAAACGAAGCCAGGATGGGGCTCTTGCCATGTTTGCATTCTTCAGATTCACCCTTTATTTAGCATACGGAAATATATCCGTAAGCTTACGGAGATGCCTGTGCTTTCTTCTTACAGACATGGTATATGGATGGGCCCCCATCAAAATTTTGGTTATCTGGCTTTTTCTTCACTCAAGCATTCCTCACAGGGATACAGCAGAATTATGCTCGGAAACACACAATTCCAATCGAACTGCTTGCATTTGACTTTGAGGTGAGAATGAATTTAACGGTTGTGTAATACATATCCAAGAATCACTTCCATCATTTGCAGTAAAGCAGGGATATAGACAGTAGCTGGTGTAAGAGGAAGGAACTACCCTCCCTCAGTTATACTAGAAGCTCTGACCTGTCAAAGAGTTATGAGTTCATACTGATGCTCCAGTTAGCTTTTCTTCAAGTTGTAGTATTAGTATGACTTCTGGCATCTTGACGAAACAAGGCAGACAGCACTGGTTCAAGAACAGGGCTCAAAATATACAACTTTCTGCTCCTGTTAGACTGACACCACACAGCAGCTTAGCATAGCCCATGCTGAAGGCTTATTATATGGGTCAGCTGAAAGTGATCATGCTTTGCTAGTGCCATTCAATCCAGTTATTATACAGTCTTTTAGAGAGACAGTTGTGAGGATCTCTGTTTGCAGGTGATGAAGGAGAGTGACTACAAGACATCCCCAGAAGATGGAGTGTACATATATGGGTTATTCCTAGACGGTGCTCGTTGGAATCATGAAGCCTTCATTCTTGATGAGTCCTTGCCAAAAGTGTTGTTCAGCCATGTCCCTATTGTAAGTATCCAGTTGAAGAGCATATAGTAAAGCAGGTAAGAGCTGACACAATGAAGAGTTCTGTCTTCTAGGATATAATGCTGTGTAGTCCAATGAAAGTTAACCAATATTATATAGAAGCACAGAAATAGATAAAAGAAGCTGAACTGCTCAAATCTCAGCCAGTCATTATGTAAAAACTTTGAAGAATAAAGGTACTGACTGGCTCTGATCTGCCCTATCAAACTTGTATTATCTATGAAGAAAGCAGTCTTCTGGGATGTGGTGTTAACCGACGTTTCGGAGGAACGCATCGCCTCCATCTTCAGGGTAGAAGGAAAAATAAGAAAATCCACAAGCGAAGAGACTGTGAGAACAGGTACAAGCAGACTGGTGTTGGAAATAAACACAGCTATGTGAGAGCAGTGAAGGAAGGGGGGGGGGGGGAAGTCTACATGGGAAATCAGTGGAGTGGGAGGGGAGAAGGGGCTGGGACAGAAGCAGGGTTATATGATAGTGTCGGGGGAGAGAAAGGCAAGGTTAAAGGGAGGGCACTAACCCTTAAGCTGGGGGGTTGCTATGTTAGTGGGTCATGGCCTGTGTAGCCTTGTGGATCTGGTGTCTTGTATTATCTATTTTGAACTTTTGTAGAGCATTATATTTTAACAAAGAATCAGTCTATATGTGTTTCAGCAATGACCTATTTGTGTTTTCACCTGATGATTATTGCGTTTGGTCAAAACATCTAGCATGAAAAAATAATAAATAACTGTAAATGTTTATTACACGATTGTGAGACGGTTGGTATAATACATATATCCTACAGTTACTTTAACTCTGAGATATAGACTTTAGTTTGTCATTAAATTAAATTGAAAATGTTACATAAAACTGATACTTTATTCCATAAAGCATTAAAACTTCACCATCAAACTCATAAAATTAAGGTAGGTTAAAATAGTACTTCAGTGATAACTATAGTTAATGCTGGTAGATGCACCCCACTGTCATCAACTTTGTCATTCTGTGTCAGATATGGCTGAAGCCAATGAAGAGCTTGGACATCACAGAGCGACTCACGTACAGATGTCCCGTGTACAAGACGTCTGAAAGACGAGGTGTGCTTTCTACAACAGGGCATTCCACAAATTTTGTTATTGCTATGACGTTACCAACAGGAAAGCCTGCTAACCACTGGATCATGCGTGGAGTGGCGATGCTTTGCCAGCTGTCAGAGTAGGAACACAGAGTCTAAATTACATCAAAACCTGCCAAGTTAGCATCCACATCACCCATATGGCCTCCAAACTTAAAACTTATAAAAGATTTTGTGAATTCTGGTATTTATATCATAATTTATTGGTGTTATGAATCAGTGATGAGATGCATATATTCTGCATAAAAATATGTAGAAAAGATATGGAAAGAGATGAGGGTGTAGAACTGTTTTTAACATTGACGTATTTTCTGTGTACATATAATAATTTCAGATAATTCTAGTCATTATGCAACTGTACATTAGGAATAATAGCCAAACAACTATGTAAATTTTATTTATAAATAAAATTATGTTAGAAAAAGCCACACTAAATTTCAAGGTTATTTGTAACCAAGGAGAACTAAGAAATGATTGCACTGAATAGATCATAGCTCTGTTTGAAGAAAAGTAAATGAAAGTTCTGTGATGTCTTATAATTGCATCTATGGTACTTCTCAGTGCTTCAAACTGTGCAAAAATGGTTACAATATAAAATGCCTTAAGAGATGAGAGGTGTTTTTAGAACTCACTATCAGCCACAAAGAAACTTCATAAGCTTATTTGTATCAGAAACACTATTATAGATTGAAATATTATATGAAACCTACACATAAGAGTATTAACAACTAATTAAGAACAACATGAAATGTGGAAAATGATGACTTTTGTTAATATCTTTTTCAGCATGTTTCACTCCTGACCATTTTACTCCTTGCATTACTTCTACCATGGTTATCATCCCTGTGACTCCATGTAACACATCCCGGTTTCTCACCTTCATCAGTTAAACCTTACATCTGAGTATGCCCCACAGGTACACATCTGAAGGATTTAGATCTGGTGAGTGGAGTGTCTACAGCACCAGACCATTACATGATATGAATATAGTAATTGGTCCTTTAAGGTCAATAGCTGCAGTCTTTCTTGAACTATTCTGAGGGAACTGCTCAGCAGAGTTTACAATCTCCTTGTTTGCTCTGGTTAGTTTACTGGTACTGTCTCTGGCCAAAGTCATGCCTTTGGAACTGAACCATACCTGTTTCTCTTAGGTGTTTGTCTATTCTCAGAAATGTTCTTTAATTGGGTACTCTTCCAAGTGGAAATTTTTCTCTCTGTGAATGTGTGGCCCTAGCCTGCCATTTCAATGAAAGTATAGTATCACCAATTATTTAACAACTGCATGTATGTCAAAGTTACTGGAAGAATAAAGAGCGCAAAACTGAAATTTTGTCAGTGTAACCAGTAACAAGTATCAAATCTTGCTTCTTTACTGATCAGAGTATGAAATATTCTGACAGGTTTTGAAATCAAATTCTGCTCTTAACTGGATGAAATCTTCTGATCAGTTGCAGTCATTGGACTCTGCTTTCTAATCCACTGTCTCCTGGAATATGATGCCATCTGGCCTGATAAAAGTTTATCGAAGTTTCAAAGGAACATATTGCCTCCCTATTTAGGGTCAAAGAGCAAGCCAAGCAAGGAACCCATATGATGAAGGCACCAGCAGAGGAAGTACTGTACATACAGAAGACAGCTTTTTGCTGGTTCCCTCTCAGCTTCCTTCTTACTGGAGGCTTACCCTTTGCATCTGTATGTGGAGGCAGTATGTTCCAACAAAGCCGAAGCATCGATGAACTTCTACTGGACTCTACAGCATCACATCCAAGACGACAATGTATACTCTTACGTTTGTACGTTACGTTTACATCTCACACTGCTGTAATTAAACCTTTTAGACCCCATATACAACTCTCATGTTCAATTTTGAGCAAATGATAGAATACAGACTAATCCTATACAGTATATACAGAGTGTTTCACGACTTTAGGGCATAACTGCATGAGGTGATTTCCTAGATCTTTGTGTTCAAAAAAGTTCATATAAACATGTGTCCGATTTTGGACGGTTACGGAGTTATGACCATTTTAAACTCAGAATAGAAGGTAACGATTACTGACAATAAACGGAACAAAATAATAAACCAGCATAATATATGATACATTTAAAGTAGGAATGTAAAGGTAACTTCGTGAAGTTACCTTTAATTTGAATTTATTGGTGCTTAAAGCTGATTTTCGAAAATGCCACAGCCGGCCACAACACAGGCTGCTGCTCGGTTGTGAACCGCGCGGGTACATACCAACTCACCACGCCTTAGGTACCTCTCAAGTGTCGAGATAACAAGAACGCTCTGTCTGTAGCTGGGTAAAAATAGCGACCCGTCAGATGATAGACGCGGTTCACGTGAGGGTGTGTACGGGAATGAAAAAACGCTCATAACTCCGTAACCGTCCAAAATCGGACACATGTTTATATTGTGACATGTTGCGCAACAGAGAACCCCTCCCTACCCAGCAGCAATGTGGCAACTCAGGCCGCAGTGACGTGGCGGATGAGTCAGCGCTCCCCTCCCCCCCTCCGCACGGTAACGTAACGCGCAACGCGCGGTGACGTAAGACGGCGTGAGATAACAGCGTGGCTACGTAACAGGCCCACACAGCCCCTATATAAGAGAGCTGCGCTGCCTGCGAAGTGAGTTGTAACGTAGCAGTCGCTGAGTTAAGTAGTAGTCGAGCGAGTGTGTTATCAACAGTTCTCAAGGTAGCAGCCATCATGGAAAGAAGAACTGGACGCGTGTGTAATTGTGTAATTGGGAGTGTGTGATCAACAGTTCACCAGTCAGCAGTGAACGAGTAAAAGCGTGATAACCAGTTATATTTGGAGTGTGTAATTCAGGGAGACTTGTATAGGGTTTGTAAAGTGTGGAAACCCATAACATTGTGATAATTAATTGTAGCCGTTACTTGTAGGTTGTTAAATAAACCAATTAACGATCTCTGCGGCGTATTCAGTAACGAAACACGTTACAATATGAACTTTTTTGATCACAAAGACCTAGGAAATCACCTCCTGCAGTTATGCCCTAAAGTCGTGAAACACCCTGTATTTGTACATGAAGTTACATGAATACCAACAAAATATTGAGTTAACATGACCTTGTATGAAAACAGTAATAATGTAATAATGAAACATTAAGTGAGGACTTACTGTAATTGTTTCTGTGTTCCATGATGAATTATGACCACATGACTTTTAAGTTCTGGCAGGGGCACAAGGAGCTTTTCTTTTAGGTAGAATGGCTCCAATGACCACAACCATATTCCAAAGCATGATACACTTTCACTGAAGCCATCCCAACTAGCTCCTTTGGTTTCCCACCAGACCTTAACACCTTTCAAAGTTGCTTAATGGGTACTCCATAACAAACCTAATAAATGAGAAACAGTGATGATGATGATGATGATAACGATAACGAGTAACTCTAGGGAGAGCTTATGATGCCTGCTTCTCATCAACTGCTTTGGTCTATATGGTGAAGTTAGCAAGAACTATAAATTAATAATTACATCCGTATTACATTTCTGTGCATTTCCAGTAGTACAGATTCAAAATATGTTAAATTTGTCAGACATAAATTCAAATACTTACACCACTGTCTTCTGTAGAGCTTTTACCATATAAAACATATTTCATGCAGAACTTGTAGGTGTTTATGATCAGTCTTCAAATAACACATTTTGTGTCTAGCTGCATTAGTTCATTAAATGCTAAAAATATAAACTTCACGTGGCTACACAGTGGTGTTACATATTCCACAGAAAGCTACCATACATGCTGGCTGCAAAAATGGTTCACTGTTGCCAATTTTCAGTTTGCATTACCAGAATTAGTTATGTATGAGTATTGTGTTGTATTGTATTGTACTGGACTTAGAAGGACAAATTTTCAGTTACCCCAGACCATTACTTGAACTTGTGTGGACCTCTCTCCACACAGCTCTACCCATAATGCTACAGCTAGAACTATTCTGAGTGAGGCTGTCCTGACATCTATTGGTTCTAACCAATGCAGAGCCAAAGATAGGTACTCTACGCTTAGTTAGTTAGTTATTGGAGAGGGTGGGTTTCCCCATGCACTTACACCAGTATTGGTCCACTGTGCTTCCTTCTATGATATTCTACCAGTCTCTATACCCTACCGATATCGGTGCGTACCATAAGTCCCGACCGAGCCAGCGAGTTTGGCCTCTACTGGCTTGGTGGTGTCTATAATGCTTCCCCCGTCTATCAGAGGCGTTAGAGACTACTGTTGGGCAGGAAATGTTCTTGAATTTGGCTCAGTGACCTCCTTTGGAGATATGAGGTTCTTTTACGTGCCATAAAGCTATGACACGGGACCCATGGCTTAAAGTCCCTCCCAGAGGACTTGTTCCCTCTATTTTTCTGCCCATAAAAATACCACGACCTCCGCGGGGTTTGAACCCGCGTACCACAAGTCATGAGGTGGGAACGTTACCTCTAGACTACGGAGGCCGCTTACTCTACACTTAGCTGGGCTATGATAAAATATGTGGTTGGAGGATACCTTTTCCTGCTCACATTTCCTCTTCATAGTACTTTCTGAGAGACCTGCAAGTTTTTATATGCTGCTTCACCTGAACAATGGTCAGTCAAGATTCCAGTTACCAACCTGCAATGTTTAAGGCCAAAAGGTCCCTGGACAGTTCCTCTGAAGGTTCTTCAATGAAGAGCTTTAACTGTCTCACATAGTGTGGCAGTTCAGTGCTCAGAATTATTCTTCAACCATTCTCTCTACCTATATATGACAAGATAAAAACTGCTAGCTGCAATAAGATTTAAAAGTATGTGATGATGGTATATTAACACAAGTGTTGACTTTTTAGAACTTAGATAGAATGGGCTAGTATGGACGGGACCGATGTGGCTCAGGAAAGGGGCCAATGGAGGGCTCTTGCGAACACCTCAATGAACCTTTGGATTCCATCAAATGTTGGGAAATTCTCGAGTAGCTGCACAACTTGGAGCTTCTCAAGAAGAGCTCAGCTCTATTTAGTTTGTTAGTTTAGTTATTGACTTTTTGGACATTACCAGGCATCCGGTTTTAAATTGACAACAGGATTATGGATGTAAGATTTGAGGCTTTCACGGCGGTGACTATGAAGANTGGATGCTGTTCAAAAAGTCAATAATTCTGCTAGTTGGGAACTGAGGAATGGACTGTTCAGTCTGCCCCATCCACAGAATCTACATTCATGTTACCCTGAAGCCCACTGTGACAAGGGATCCAGAAGTGTAACCAAATTCTCACTAGACAGGACACACAGATCTGCTGAATTGCCTGGCGATATGAATATATACAGATGTGCATATTTGCACAGGCCCTTCCTTTACATTCCTTTATGGACATATGATGAGATCATCTTAGAGGGAGACCCAAAAGTAATTATTGGTGCATTTTATGCTGATTTATTTGAAAGACAGAGCCCATCTTCATTTGTTGTACGAGGATCCCTACCAGACCACAGACCCACAGCCATGAGTCAGTAAACCAAAACCCTAGCCAGTCTTTCAACTGTGAGTAGGCAGAAGGGGACCAGGTAGAACTTAAAGAGCAGTGATATAGGCTGTGCTCAGAGCTCCAGTGATACTTATATGTGCCAACTATGCAGGTGATGAAGCTCACCTTTCACTGTACCCCAACATACCCCTGGCAACTGCACAACTGCTGCATACATAAGCACAGGTCTTATTACATAGGTCACTCCAAGAGTAATGCAGAACATTTTTTTTAAAAATTCAGTTTTTATTCTACAGTTTTGCTATTTGTAGGGTGCATGGAAGGACCCTTCCCACTTGTATTCAAATTTAACTGAACCCATTCCCACGTGGAGTGCTGTCATAGCACTTCTTCAAAGTGGCTGCTGCGCTTGATGTTCGTCAGAAGCAAGAATTGTGACGGGAGATGAATCATGGCTGCACCACTCTGAACCAGAAACAAAGCGGCAATCAATAGAATGGCACCATGCGAACTCGCCCAAGAAAAAGAAATTCAAATCTGTGCCTTTGGCAGGAAAAGATATGGCTACGGTCTTTTTTGATTCAGAAGGGCTTTTGCTTGTGGACATCATGCCACAAGGAACCACCATTAATTCTGACGCATATGTGGCAACCCTAAAGAAACTTCAAGCTTGACTGAGTTGTGCTCAACCACATCAGCAGAAACATGAAAAGGACGAGATCACAAAACTTGGATGGACAACATTGCCATACCCTCCTAATAGCCCTGATGTGGCACCCTCTGATTACCATCTCTTTGGTAAACTGAAGGAATCCCTTCACCAAACAAGATTTGAAGATGATGATGCCCTCATTACAGCCACTAAATGGTGGCTCAGACACTGGTCCAGAGTGTTACTGTGCCAGCATACTGGCCCTATTTCCAAGGTTGTGTAAGGCAGTTGAAAGGGATGGAGATCATGTGGAGAAGTGATATTTTGTTCCTAAAGGATGTATCAACATACTGTATAAGTAGTAAAGGTCTAGAATAAAAATTGATTCTTTAAAAAAAAATGTTGTGCATTACTTTTTGAGTGACCCTTGTACATTGGTAAGATCTTCCAGATCGAACTCCACATTTAGCTACCTTAATAGACGTTATGATGTTAGAGCACTGCAGCACTGACAATACACATGCGAGTCATTTTCCATTTCTAGATATTTTCCAACTTCTTTCAATTATCGAAAATTTCAGTATCTTCAGTCGCTGAATATGCGTGTATTCATATCTCCCATTTCCTACACTTCGCATTTCTTTAATTTCTCATGTCACAACCTCTTTTAAACATTAAAAAATATTGCATTCTTTACATTATCAAAAATTCTCGAATTTCTGTAACTGCCAACAAGTTTTAAATAAATGGGATTCCAAATACTTTATATATATATATATATATAGGGGATCGAAAACCGAAAATTCGAGCAAATACANGAATAAAAGACTACACAAGTGTACTAGTGTAAGTGGAGAGTACTTTGAAGAGGATTGAAGGTTTGTGCTTAAATTTTGAATAAATAAGTTTAAAAAAATAAGTTTGGTTTCTTTTGGGTACCTCCTCGTAGTTCTCATTCATCAATACACCAATCTCCATGGTCACATATTTATTACCTACTCATCACAAGTCAAACAAAATTATCAGGAAGATAGTTAAACCTAAGAAGGATCAAATATCAGCAATTCAGGACACTAACTAAACTCTTATCACCCAGAATTTCTGACATGGCGAACTCTTAAGACATTTTGGTAGCCTCACATGTAGGATGACAGGGCACATGACATTCATACCAAATTTTCTGTGGGGAATCCTCCTGGAAAGTGGATCCTTGCAAGATGGAACACCTCATGGCAGAATAACAGTAAACAGGAAGTATCAATAGCCAGATTTCTGGATCACATGTGGATACAACTGGCTACACATCATATCCAATGAACATCTCCGGGACAGTGACTTTTGACTGTCTAATTCTGTTGCCAGAGTACTGCTTCTTAACATTCAATCAGTCACTTAATGGCTTCGCTAAGGTTTAGGATGACCACAAGCACTACCCAAGTCTAACGAAAATAAAGAACTGAGGACAGCTGCATTTATCGATTGGCGGAAAAGAAGATTGATTAGTAAACTGTACATGGATCAGAAAGTGCGACTGGACAGAGGGGAGACAAGAAGTGTGAAGATTGGAAGAGGAGTTTGACAAGGATGCTGTTTATCACCAATTTTGTTCAACTTGTACAGCGAATGCCTTACCAAGGAAGCTCTGGATGGGCTTGGAGACTTAAAATTAGGAGGGCAAATTATTCAAACTGTGAAATATGCAGATGACAGATGACCTTGTGTTAATGGCTAAGGAAGAAACTGTGCTACAGGGTATGATTGATAGACTAATCAAAATTGGAAGGTGCTATGGCATGGAAATGAATGTGGAAAAGACAAAAGTAATGAAAATTTTGAGACAACCAACCCCAGTCACAATAAAGATAGACCAAAAACAAGTGGAGAATATGAACTGTTTTAAATATTTGGGTAGCTTGTTAACAGATGATGGAAGGTGTATTTGTGAAATTAAATCTAGAATTGCCATGGCAAAAGCTGCATTTAGCAAGAAGAAGAATCTTTTTACCAATAAATTGGACTTACATTTGAGAAAGAAACTAGTGAAATACTACATTTGGAGCATGGCTTTGTATGGGGCTGAAACTTGGACATTTAGGGCAGCAGATCAAAAACACCTGTAAAGCTTCAAAATGCGGTGTTGGAGAAGGATGGAGAAGATCAGTTGGACCCATTATGTGAGAAATGAAGAAGTGTTATTTAGAGTCAGTGAGCAGAGGAATATCCTACATGAAATAAGAAAATGGAAGGCTAATTGGATTGGTCATATCTTATGCAGTAACTGCCTTCTAAAAGAAGTTACTGAAGGAAAGACAGAGGGGCAGATAGAAGTGACAAGAAGACGTAAGAAGATGCTGGATGACCTTGGGGACAGAAGAGGATATTCTCATTTGAAGGAGAAAGCTCTAGATCGCATTAAGTGGAGGAACTGTTTTGGAAGAGACTGTGGACCTGTCGTCTGACAGATTACTGATGAATGAATGAAACCAAATTTCATCATTACTTCCGCACAGCTGTGGGATAATAAGAAGCTGAATTACATGATTCACTTCTTAAACAAATAACACTTCATAAACCTTGACAAAAGTCTGACAAATGATCAAGTTAGGGTAATCTGCCCAACATACTCCAGTTAATCTCACAGCTCAACTTCAATTTTGTTGGTCCCTCTACCAGTTTCTGGCTTGCTATGCAGCCGATATTGAAATCACTCACTGCATCAGTGACCTCAATGTCTAATTTCTTTTAGAAATAAATGTGTCTTTTGGACATTTATTCCAAATAAGACTATGTAATGCCTTACTGTCATTTTGAGTCTTCCCACGTATGCACTTTTTCAGGCATTCCTCATTAGCCAATTTGGTGTATAATGCAATCAGTATTTTACCACTTCAACATTTAGTGGAATTTTCATGGTAGAGCTGTCATGCGAAGGAATGGGCTCTCCTTTAGCAACAGCTCTATTATAAAAACACCAGGCCTCACCACCTGGGCACTTATGATGTTGAGGATTTTGGTCAGTAGATGTGAAGTGGTACAGAGTAGCATATACTGCAGTCTTCATTTGTTGAACATTAGGAATATTATGCTTGATGGCTTTATGGTAATATTCAGTGAGATTCACTATCGTGCTCTCTTTCAAGCTCCCATGTTTCTTCCCACCAAGCGTAATACCCATTTTGCTATTCTGTTTGACTAGATTTCTTATTCCTGTACCCAACCTCCTGGCCACATGGTTCAGACACTCACTTTCTCTATGTCTTTACTTCCACAGACAGCCAAATACTGGAGATACTTGTGTGTTTTGGCATCACCATCTGACACCATAGTGCTGTAGCAAAGCAGGCATGTGTCTACTGACCATTTCCACAATATCTCTGCTGTGACCATTTCCATGGGGCTTGATGATCCGCTGGAATTCATTTCACATTTCCCACTTTCTTTATATGCTTTATGACTACTTGCTTATTATACGGAATTCAATGTCTTCTGTTGTTGAACACAAAAGCTACAGTATTTAGACATTACTTCAAAGTCTATGACTAGCCGTCAGTACATTTATTACTGCCCCTATGCCATATAGGGAGGAACTGCCCCTATTTTGCCAGGTGGCATCATAGGAGACTGTAATGTCAATAATGTCATCCTCATTCAGGCTTGGATCGGTGGCAATAGAAGACTGGCGAACAACAGTCTGAGCCTACTGGAACACATTGTGATATATTCCTGTATTTCCTTTTGCTGTTTGCAGCAAATGGGCATTGTATGAGGAAGAGCTGACTAGTGTCATGCCCATGCCCATGCAGAATTTTTCCATCCCAGCATTACCCTTACCTAATGATAAAAAAGTGTTTACCATTTTGCAGTTCACTTCAAATGGAAGTTGACTTGATTTGGTGCATTCAACCCTGGGACTGGTATAATTTTCACTGCAGGTAATATAGCAAACTGTACATTTTACAGCTACTTTAGCTGCAAAGCCCATAAATTGAGAAAATTTGATTTTCAAATCACTTCCCCCACAAGTGCCACATTTTATACCTTTACATATTTGCTGCCAAAAGCTGGAATGGACTAGTACATAATCAGAATTTGGCATATCATTCAGATACTCACTGTCTTGGGCAGCATCAATGCACATCCCTGGGAAGATGATGCTGAAGAGAAATTCTCTATCAAAGCACTTTCATTTCTTTCACATACTTCAGAAGACATTTCTGTGTGTTGTTGTTTCTTCCATCTCTTGGCTACTAAATATTTGGCCAACGAACTTCTTTTGGTTGGTCCCTTTCCTTTCAGCATTTTATCTGGCAACCTAGGACCGTCTGGCTACAGATTCAGAGGTCCCGGGTTCGATTCCCGCCGCTACCAGATTTTCTGTGAAGTAGTGGGTCTGGAACGGAGTCCACTCAGCTTCATGAGGATAACTGAGTAGTTATTTCAAGGAAATAGCGGCTCCGGTCTACAAAACCGAGATTAACGGCCGTGGGAATCCGTTGCGCTGACCAAGCGACACACTCTATCCGCAAAAGTTGGCACTAACTTCGAAGACAAGCGGCGGTCGCTCGGTCCGTATAGTTCGCTTGAGGACTACAGGCCACGGAGTTTGTTTTTTGTTTTTCTAGCAACATATTCATGTCGTATATACTACGTACTCTTGAAAATACCTAACCTACACTAAATTATAGAAAAACTCTGCCTAACTTATTTTAAATAATACTATTAACCTAAATAACTAAATAAAAGTGAATGAACGTTTAAAAAAGAATATGGCACAAACAAAAAAACACAGCACGCTTATCCACAACAACAAAAACACAATAATACAACCAAAATAACGGTATAAATGCGCAATTGATGCTCAAATGTTTCCCTCAGAAATTTACAGGCTGGCCACAACACTAAAGTTGTTGGTACAAAAGTGGCGCAAAATTCAAATTGATAAATGTGTGGTGTACTGCTGAAACATGTACAGGCAAACCATGTGGGCGTGGCAGCTGAAACACGTGCGTAGGAACATTTAAATGGCCACCTTAGGTCAATTTAAATTACGGAGGCCAAAATGACTTTCAATTTACTAAATAGCAAGATCTGAACTATTTTATTAGACAAAAATTAAAATTTGTGATTTTTCATAACTTTTCCCCAAATTTCACCGATGAATGACCTTAATACTCGTATACATCGAATTCTAATAGGTTACGTTGCGCGAGTTTACATCTACACTATCATGAGCAACCTACACTGCCGTTACACACAATTTTTGTGCCTGCCGAGGGATGAAGATGACCAGGCTTTCTGTGTTTTCGGCTGTATATCAGATAGCTTTCCTTATTTGGCTCTCATCATGCAAAATCGTAATATACCGGTTACCAACATACTGACGTGCCAACATAAACCGAACCCCTACCCAAACGTACGTATACGCGTAATAGTTGTATATTCTATTTTTTACTATTTTAGGCAGTAGACGAGTAGACAAAAGATTCTGGACTGTATGGTAGCAAGCATTACCTGAAATCATCCTCCTCTTAATTTCTTCCTGAATCGAATTTTTATTTATTACTGCCGTTCCAAAATAATTGAATTGTGCTACACTTTTCAAACGTATGTCATGATGTAGCCTTGCATTCTGGTGATCAGACAGCAACACATACTAGTTTTTCCTGCGTTTGCTTCTATACCAACCTTAATACTCGTACTAGCATCAGTGCTTCTTTTTATTTATGGTATCTATATTATCTCGCAGTAGGTTCACATCATCAGCATAGACTAGTAGCTGATGTGTCCCATGTAATTTCAGTCCCACCTGGTTTTCCTGGACCTTCCTAATGGCATATTCTAAACTTTAGAATCTAAAGTAAAGTTGAAAAGCATTGGCGATAAAGCATCTCCTTCTTTCAGATCATTTCAGTAAAGTAGTATTTGTAGATAGTGTGAGATGTATTGTAATGGGATTGTGTTAATTAACTCGGCTGTGAAAATACGCATTTGAAGAAGATTCGACATTTCTCTCATCAGTGTATGACAAGGAATGAGACAGTGAGACAGAAACTTATTTTCTCCACAGAGGAAAGGACTGAAGAGCGTACATAAATGTGGTATAAGCAATAGAGTATGAAAGTGATCCTCCCTCTGGCTCAAAGAACGTCTAATACATCTTACATTCTGTAGTCTAAATCAAAGACTAACCAAGCACAGTTATGCCATTCTTCATATCTCTGAAGTTTCTTTAATATCGGGAACTTAATAACATTTAGATGCTTAACGTGTAGAATAGCTATTCCTGCTGCCTCAGGATTTGCGGTGTATTCTTCTATCTTAATTGCGGTCAGATCCAAGTTACATGAATCGTGCGTGGAATTGTCTCGGCTAGTCCTTGATTCAGAGCTCTCAGAACTCGAAACGCAAAGACTATAAAACCGGCCTCTCTCGCCTACAGCAGCAATGGATATAATTTATTGATAACATATGACGAGTGGAAAGTTACCTGTAAACAGGAGTTGATATGTAATGGAGGCACCCATGAAGAACGGTTGAAACTAATTGTGAAACATGTATCTAATTTTAGAGGACCTTTGGAGTGTCTTGCCGCAAAATACTGTGGAGTATTTGCTCCATGCAATAATAGTCGAGTCACAGAAACAGACGTTTCTAAGTAATACACGCACGCCATACTGGAACGACGGGGTTATGCAACCCACTTCTAGGCAACGGCTCGGTAAATACACTTCCACGCATGCACAATGACGTCACCCCAACAGTGTGTAGCTATCGAATGGCGTGTTTCCTGTAGGTCCTCGCCGAAGGTTTATGGGGGACAACAAAGATCAACAATGTGGCCAGAAGAAGATTTACAGGACTTAGTGTGTGTCGTTACATGTGCTGTAGTACATTGATATTGAGAGTGTGTAATTTGGTGAGAATTTTGTAGTTCATGTGTTATAAATCCGTTGCAAGGAAACGGATAGTGAAGACTAGTGGAAATAGAGAAGATTAGTGTGGAGTGATTGTAAATTGTGTAAATTAGCAATAGTATAAGGATTATTTATAATTACGACCTGTAGATGATTAATAAACCCAGTTACCAATCCGAAATCTGTCTCTAGTTACTAATACAGGTGATAATAAGATAATGCGCGAAAATGGGTAGGTTGTCTATCTATACAAAGCATGCACTTGCCAGATAACGTATTGTGGGTCTTAGATTAAATTGCTCGAATTGTAGTGGGGAACTAGGACATCTACTCTGAACAATGGGCGAGTCTGAAACAGTGGTCAGATGCGAGAACACAAGACGGTCTGTACTGGCTAAGCACGGGCACATAAATTGCAAATGGTAATCGGGTATCACATAGCATCTGTGTTTTGCATAGAAAATGCAAATAATGGCTCAGGCCATTACATATTCTAGCATTCACGTTATATCTGGTTAATAATACCAACAGTTTCTGTTAATGTAGATTTAATTAAACCCGGATTAGAATCGTATGAAAAGGCGTATATTCGTAATTATAAAGATGTTGACATTTCCTATTCTGAAAGAGAGTATTAGTGGTTTGTTGTTGAGGTTAGTTTACTCTTTCGGTAGGGCCCAAAGTATGAGTCTCCCATATCAGTGAAGATCTTCCAAGTTTCACTTTTCTCGCCAAAATTCTTCATCTTTGACTGACTTCCGTCAATCTGAGCTTTGCCGTAGCAGTACTAGGTAACCTGAATGAATTTCTAGTTGTCGTTATGTACTCGTGAACATAATGCAATAGCTTCTTACTTCACCTCACGCGAACGAAGATTTTCCACAAAACCTTGTTTTAAAACGTTTGCATTTGTTATTCTTCCAGAGAAAAGTTCAAGTTTCATATCATAAAAAAACACGGCTGCAAATTAATAGTTTCATAAACCTAATCAATATTTTGTAATAAGGAAAAAGATGTAATGCATCCTGAAATGCATAGTCCGAAATTTTCATTGAATTCGTATATTCTTTTTTCTTTGTCAACCTCCCTGCTGTAACTGTTCTTTCTACTCGCCCTTACTTCGGGCTCCACTTCGTAATTGTTTCTTGGGGTCTGTTCAAGGTTAGTTGTCTTACCTTTCACTAATCACTTGACCTGCACCACTATTGATGTCAGTCACTGATGATGCGTGAGTCCGGCTGCGATCACGGGTCCGATTCCTAGGCAGTTTCTCAGGGGCTTTAGGATGGATGAAAGGTGAGGGTGAATCGCTAGTCTCCTGGGCAGTGGGATTAGTGGGTAAGACGGGTAGAGCTGGATTCTTTCTCAGGGCTTACGGGCCTCAGGTCGAAGGGGAAGGCCGTTGGGATCCAGCACTTGACACACTGTATAGGGGTTGTGAAGACACTTAGTGATCACAAAGATACACAACACTTAATGTATTTGTAGTATAAGAGTAAACACTGAATTTATTAACTATCAATTACACAACACCTTCTGGGCTGCTCTTATTCCGACAGTACAGAGTTCGGTAAGTGTTAACTTCTAACCAGAGAGACTGCGTTGAGCCCGCGTTTAGTCACTCTTCTCTTATGATTAAGAACAATGTGATTTATACTGCAATTTAACTGATAGCTCCTCCCCGGCGGGGGTTCTTTCTTTGAATCCCATTGGCGTCACTATTGGAGAGGGTGGTAAAACTTCCAAGAGTAACCAATGAGGTCCAATGGTC